TTAAATTTATATATATTTTTTTTAAAAACTTTTTTTTTATAGCTGAGGTTAAACGTGTAGGGGATACAGTCCTTGGCATGGCAACACAGTGCGTACAGATGAAAAATGTGCAACGAACCACACCACAGACTTTGTCTAATCTGTGCTTGAAGATTAACGTCAAGTTGGGAGGCGTAAACAATATCTTATTGCCACAAGGCAGGCAAGTAACCTACGCATTTAGAGTAAAGTGTAATTTGCTTTACATGCTGTAACCTATTCTGACCTGTAAAAAGGTGATATCCTGAAAAAGTTTCTAAAACTATATTGCTTAGATTGTTTACCTGTAATTTTGAAAAAGCATTTCTGTGTAATCTATATCAGGAGTTTGTCATACTAGAACACCTACTCTCTTTCAGGCCTTCGGTTTTCCAACAGCCAATCATATTCCTTGGTGCAGATGTCACCCACCCACCAGCTGGTGATGGGAAAAAGCCTTCAATTGCTGCGGTGAGAATATGTCCCCATAGTATTAGTTTGCTAGAGATAAACATTGTGAAACTGTAGTCCGTTTCAAAAATATGCTTAAAGTGGAATGAGTGAGCTTACAGACAAGTGACTTCATTTTTTTATTTTTTATATTCTTTATTTTTATTGTGCAAGTGTTGCCAAACAAGCTTGATATGCCACAACGGCTATAACTGCATAGTAAAAACAGTCAAAAGATATAACAATGGCATTCACAGAAACTGCACTTTTTTAATTTATTTTTTTTATTTAAAGTTACATCAGTAAGTAAGGCAAGATGGCATGTAAATCAGGCTATAAGGACTGACAGGATCTCATTTTGAGTTATAAGAACAATAGCTATGAAAGTAATAATTGAACAAGTATATGCATTGACTGAATTTCAACTGCTAAAATCAATGTAGGTACTGCCATATTTGGAAAAAACATGCTATGAGGAGCAAGGTAAAGGGAGAACTAAAAACAAATACATGAATAGAGATGAACGTTGCGTTTTAGCCGCTTGATCTGGAGCGGCCTAGTTAGGTATTGGAAGGCGGGAGGTCTTGTAATGCTGAGCAGGCCCATTGAGCAGCCAGTCAACCAATAACCCCACGGGGCTTGTGTCTCATGTAGAAGCATATTCCAGTAAGTGAGGCGTTGCGGTAATACCAAAGCGGGAACCCCCTCCAGCCCCAGGTGTGTGGAAGAGGTTGCTTAGGGATCCACCACACGATCAGGCTGTCAGACCAGCAGAGACTGGGATGACCCCCACCGGTCCAAAAGGGGGAGGAATTGGGACCTGTACCACCGAGGGATAACCGGTATGGCAGGAGATCGGCTGCGTCTCACGCTCCAGATTGAGACGTAGGCCGCAAACGCCAGGACCCTCACTAAATGGCTTCTTCCGAGGGAACAGTCAGGTCCAGAGTTGGCCCAGATACGGTCTGCAAAATATGAACCTGGAACAGCTCCTTTCTGATTTATTTTTTTTTTAATTTTTTTATTTTTTATTTTTAATAAACTTGAGGAAACTAAAGAGCTTCTTCGGTCTGTCTTGCTTGCTTGGCGGCTAGGCCCCCCCACTTCATTTATTTTAATGTGTATGTGGTTGTAAAAGAAAATGCCTAGATAGAACCTACTGTATGCATTAGAATGGAGTATCAGTAAATTGCATTATAGGAAGCCGTTTGTGAAGCAATAGCGGCATGTTTTGTGATCGTGTTATATGACCTGTCTGTTAAATCCCCTTCAGGTTGTGGGTAGCATGGATGCACATCCTAACAGATATTGTGCCACAGTGAGAGTGCAACAGCACAGGCAAGAGATCATTCAGGACCTATCAGCAATGGTCCGAGAGTTACTTATTCAGTTTTACAAATCCACACGCTTCAAACCAACAAGAATCATTTTCTACAGGGATGGCGTTTCAGAAGGGCAATTCCAACAGGTAGACTTTTCCATTGATCAATATAATCCATACATTGTCCATCAGAGTTTAAAAAAAATAATTTAAATTCAAATAGTTTAGTCTGCCTTTGGGCAAAAAGTGCAGTGGAAGGGAGTAGAGAAAAAACAAAACCCATCAAAGCACTCCTGGAACTTACATTAACTTCTTCCTGTGACTTTGCTTTGTTATTTGTACAAATACCCTAGAATTAAGTTTCCCGTTAAAATGTTTATACATCTCATAACAAATAACCATTTATTGAAAACTTGAATCATTTTTGAAAGAAATGTGAAGAAAAAATATCTATCACTTTTGCAATAAAAATCCTGTGTCATTTCTGGCTTGTACTGTAGTCATCGTGATTAGCATGCCCATATGTAATCTTGTTTAGGTAATGCATTAATCACTACTTATTGCCATATACAGGTACTGCATCATGAACTGCTGGCTATTAGAGATGCCTGTATTAAACTGGAGAAAGATTACCAGCCAGGAATTACATTTATTGTTGTACAAAAAAGGCACCACACAAGGCTCTTCTGTACTGACAGAAATGAACGGGTAAGAACATCAACAAATTCGAACTGCAAAAATATTAATGTAACTGTCATTTAACCTCTTAATGACGAGTGACGGACTAGGTCTGTCACTCAGGGGAAACCCTTAACGACGAGTGACGGACCTTGTCCGTCACGCGGTAAAATTAACCCCCAGATCGCAGCGATTGCGGGATTAAAGCCCTTTCTGTCCTTTAAAAAACGGTATATAATGTGTCTGTGCAATAAATTTGTAAAATGCAAATTGCAGTTGAACGTTAACAGCAAAAAATGCTGTTGTCATTAAGTGAAAGACAAGCTTCTGAAGCTCTGTCCTTAAGGGGTTAAGAAACTTGGTTTTATTACAACTCCATTAGTTCCTATACTGAGGTCTGCCAAGTTATACATGTGTAAGCTAAACTAGCTGCTTGCTCAATGTAGAATGGTGATTAAACCGGATAACTCCATACATCACAACTACTGTAAGCGCCCCATTTCATACTGAAACACTGCAGGTACTGTGTCCCTGCACCATTGACGCTTCAAAACATTGAAGTGGTCAATGCCATGGAGTAACCCTTTTAAAGAGGTGTTGAAACTCACCCTGTCAATTGGTTATGTAAGCATTTTGTATGCCAACCGCATTCCCATATCTACATTCCAGGGCTTAAATAGACTTAGTCTCAACAGTTTCCTAAAAGTGACAACGCAATTTGTGTACTTTTATGGTATTTTTATGTCTTGGAATCTGAAGTGAAGTCATCTTTTCCATAAAATTGTGTAGTTTGAATAACAAATGTTTAAAGATGTTACCGCTTACCCCCTCTGCTAAAAATAGTTATTTATTCCAATGTTCACCGTGTGTGTATACATGCTGATTTGAATAAATATTCTGCAGGTTGGTAAAAGTGGAAATATACCAGCAGGAACGACAGTGGACACAAAAATAACTCATCCCACAGAATTTGATTTTTACCTGTGCAGTCATGCAGGTATTCAGGTCAGTACTAATCTTTTAACAATGTACCGGTATCTTCTCCTCCCACCACATGATCATGAGTCATATGAAAACTCAGCCATAACGTCTAAACGGAATCTGCTGTATGCCAACTCTGTGGCCTGCAGTTATGATCAGGATAAGCAAACTTGTAGTTGTGTGTGATTTATTTAAAAAAATTTTTTCTCTCCTCTAATGAGCTAGCATGAGCAATATCCTGTAAAGGGAATCCCAAATAATGAGACTGGACGCTAATTATTTAAATGTACATCTTAAAGTGAAATCACTGTATTATTCGTTATGATGTCCATTCTTTATACAGGGTACAAGCCGACCCTCACATTATCACGTCCTCTGGGATGATAACAGATTTACCGCTGATGCCTTGCAAATCCTCACCTACCAACTCTGCCATACGTATGTGCGCTGCACTCGCTCGGTCTCTATACCTGCTCCTGCTTACTACGCACATCTGGTGGCATTCAGAGCGCGATATCATTTGGTGGACAAAGAGCATGACAGGTATGTTGGCACACTGCTGCTGGACGGTCTGTAAGTTTATATAGTTCCTTTACAGAGCCAACGCCTTCTGCATATTTAATGGGCTGCGTCAAGTGACCTTTTTAAGGATAGGCTGTAGAGGTGCAACCTGCATACGATATTTCTTGGACTTCCAGACAGTTCTTATTGCCCCACCTTTCCTATAGAGATTTGAAACTATATTTTTACAATAGTAATGATTTAAACATTGTTGTGGGTGCACGGGAATTAATTTGGGAGTCAATGTGTAAATACTTGATGCTGCCTACTCCGTCCACTAGAACAAACTGGGTTTCGCCCGCTTTCTTGGCTGGATTCCAAATTCCAGCACAATCTGGTCTACCCGAATGTTAAATGGCAAACTCTACACCTGGAGGTAGAGCAGAAGGTATCTTTCTTGTAGAAGAGTTTATTTTCCCAGATGTTCACATTTTACTTCTTTGTTTGCAGTGCTGAAGGGAGCCACACATCTGGTCAAGCTAATGGCAGAGATCATCAAGCGCTTGCAAGGGCGGTCCAAGTTCATCAGGATACGCTGCGTACAATGTATTTCGCCTAACTTGCACAGGCATCCACTGACAAAGCGTCACACGTGAAGGATTCACACCAGGCCAGCTGCACTTAAAACCTTGCATATTTACTATGGGGGACACAGAGGAAAAGTGCAATATGTCATATCCCAAGAATTCCCATGTTTTTTGTAATCTTTTTACCAGCCTTCCGTCCACTCCATATTACTGAACAGTGGACTTTTAACAGTACAACCTGGGGGTTTCTTAAGATGGAAGGGTTTATAAAAGCAGGTTAAAACCAAATCTTTTACCCCCTTTTTAAAACATAGCAGATTTAATCTCAGGGTTTAAAAAATGCTATGAAGAAGTTTATCTATTTTAATAATCAACTGTCCGTTTCCAGACAAAATGTGATGGCCAGCTGGCTTTTAAATTTTTCATTTTATTTATTTATATTTTTCTTTAAAAGGAAGATGAGAGCGGCATTATTTTAAAATTCCAAGCCTTAACGATTAACTATTGGTGGGTTATCTTTTCTACACAAAGACTTTTTTTTTTTTTTTTTTAAATCATCCTTTTAATTAAAACTTGTGTCAAACACATTCTGCACAGACCTACATTTTTAACTTTCTTTTATTTTTATTTTAAAGCACAGGAATAGTTCACAAATCCATTAATTAAGACAATCCTGTTTAAACACCTTTTGTCTGTGCCATTTAAAGCCCTCTCATATTAGAAAAGATAGGTTGTGACTTAATTTGTACTGCTGGACTCTGATCTTTCCAAAGTTTTGTATCAATACGGGTCTGTGGCAATCAAAACCGTACAATCATGTTAAGCTAATGTACAGAATATTTCTTTTAAGCAGTATTAATGTGAGATAAAATGCTATTTTATTGACAAAGAGCTTTGTATTTCTATTGACATATTTGTAGATGGACTTATGAACCGGTCTCTTAACCATTACACTGTATAGCGGCATTTGTTTGGCTTCTCCTGATGAATGACTGAAACTTCATTTCATTAATTCTTCCACTGCCAAAGGGCATCTAACAAACTGCAAAGCAATATTAGGCAATATGTTTTGGCTCGGCTGGTAGCAGAAGTTCATGGGTAAGGTGCAGCTTGAGAATGTCCTAAAAAAAATTACTAGTTGGTGGGTCTTTGAAGACCCCTCTGGGGCTTGTATATTGCAATGGCTGCACTCTTTATTTATTGCTTTATTTTGATTGGGGCTATACATATTTAATTTACATGCCTCTCAAATGAGTAAAGAGTATGTAAGTTTTTATTGTAGACTGGTTAGTTTGTGGGTTGTGTGGGTTTTTTTTTCTATTCTGTCTAAGCTTTTCCTACATGAATGATATCTGTATAACTTTTTGGGGGCGTGTGGATTATTTATGGGCTTGTTGAATGTAAAGTGAGAGGTGCGATCTCTTGTTATTTCTAGGTTGCCTTGGTCAGGTGTATTCCTCTGTTCATATGCAACTTTTTTTATTTTTTTTAAGCATTTATCAGCGTCTAGGATTATGCAATTTGTGTAACTAGAGGGTTACCTAGACATATTGGTTTGTAAATGGTCAACATGTCATAAAACACTATGTATTTCCCTCCACTGGTAGCTAGTTAGGACTCCCAATTCATAAAATCATGTTTGGCCCTTGTCTCGGGGACCATGCAAGTACTGCTTATGTTTAAGGCTCCCAACCAGAGCATTGTATTTCTCATGTGTGTCTAGGCTTCAAATGGGTTTAAACAAATTCTTAAACCCTCATTCTGTTGAATTGACTGTTAAATTAATCTGTAACTAAACTTTTTCATATAAAAGTCCTTAATTGCCCACTTGGATTATTTAACTCGACAAGTCTCGTGTGCTGCAACTTCTACCTGGCAGAGCAGACTGGATTGCTGCACATTGTGGGGATTTTGTCTTCTGATACAACACTGCTCGGACATGAGATCTAAAGATTGCTTTTAAAATGTGTATTAAAGATTTAGTAAATTGAACATTACACAAGTTTATAGAAGTTACTTTCAGTCTTTGTAATTTTTAGAGCAGTGACCATTTAATGCACAGCTCTGCAAGCCATCATATGGACACTGGCCTAAACAATGTAACTTGCCTCTACGTTAGATTAGGTGTCATTGCTATCAATGTTTTGACTAATCTGCAGTAAGATTATACTGAATTTCTTGTGATATTGGTTAATAGGATTGAAGTCATTTTGTGACCTAAGGGTTGCCTACATACACCATCTTGCCATCTATTTGCAAAGGAAAGTACTAAAAACTATGCATATAAAAATTCTATTCTTATAGAGGTGCCAAAGGTTTAGGTTAATATCAGGCAGATCATTCAATTGAAAAGCTTGTATGCAGAGAACATATGACAGATCAATGCACTTTCATCACAGAATATAATTTATTGAGTTCTGATGCTTAAATAAACAAATCTAAACTGCTATTTGGTAATAAACTCTTCCATTAGTAAAACCACATGAGATTCTAGAAGCACACCATCTATTCAGGCAATGACCCAATGCGATGTAGTGCCCTGCTCAAAACATAAGCCTTTAGATTCTCCTTAGAGAGGTTTAACTTCACCTCCTGGTGCTCTTTCAGAAAGACTGCTAGAAGACAAAGCAATATATAGGCCGATCTTTAAAGGTGCCCCTGATTTTGATGGATCCATGCAAAAACTGTTAAGATGTCTATACCTATAATCTTAATATAACTTGATCAGCCTCTCAAAGAAATGTTGGGTCACAAATACCGGGGTAGCTCCACCCATCTCTGCCTTTCCTAAACTGTCTTTATCTCTAATCCACTTGGAGGAAAAAAAAAATCTTTTTATTGGTGATTGAAATGACTCTTTGAGATGTACCCCCTCCTTCCTTCTCCAAACACCCAGTTTATTGGTTAAGGTCTGCAAAGATCATTTGATGCTAGCGGCCATTAAGAATCTGGGACTCTCCCAGCAACAGTGTTTGGATACGATTTTGTATCCGGCATTTCAAACTGCTTTAGTAATAGTGAATTGAATTTAATAGGGGTTTGTCTAATAAGGCTACTGCATTTCTTGTGGAGTTGGTTAATAGGATTGAAGTCATTTTGTGACCTAAGGGTTGCCTAGCTAGTTTCATCTTTTGAAGCTTTTTGCTGAAATACCAGCGCAATTCCTCTTGGTATTCTTTTACTAGTTGCCTAGCTTTGCACTGGCTACCCGCTAATGGCTTTCATAATCATATATTGTGTAACTGAATTTTATTCCACTACCTTTTTCTTTAGTTCTTGTGTACTACAGATGGGATATATGGTTATTGGCAAAGCTTCATATGAAATCCAGCAATGACAATCAAACTGGAGAGAATACTAAATATTCTAAGCCATATCTGCAGTGGATTAACAGTCACTGCTCTATAGGGAAGTATTGCTCAGCGAACCTGCATTCTCCAACACAGATTCAGCAGTTTGGTTTTAAAAAATAAATAAATAAATCCGGCTTCAATTGGTCCTGAGTAGTTCTCAGCTCTTCCAAGTTTCCAAGGTTTTATTGCTCTGCTAACATTGGTTAAGTCAATTTTTTAAAATTTTTTTTTTGTGGTGCAACTTTGTTCAACAGGAGTAAATAACTTTAGGGGTAACTGCTACTAATCCAGTGCTATCTCAACAAGGAGTAATATACCTTTACACCAAGAGTACTGGCATGTCTAACTCTTCTATTAAAAGAAACACTCCAAGCATCAAGGGCACTACTGGTTATGATACCAGCAATGCCCCCCTCCCAATCACTTTTATTTTTATAAAGAACCGTTTTTTTTTTTTTACCTGGGTTAAACCAGGCAGCACGGCTCACTCATGAGCTAATCCCTTTTAGTGCAGGGCTTCTGCCTCTGACAAGATTAACAAAATCTCCCACTTAAAACTTCTGGATCTCTGCTATAGTGAAGGTGGGAAGCTGTGCCAGGTAGACCCCAGGTAAAAAGCCAAACTGGATATGGACTCCTTACAATGGGGATGTCACTCCTGGCACCATAACCACTAAGAATGGTGTAGTGGCAATGATGCGTGGCGTGTTTAATGTTGCTCTGTAAAATGAAGTTAACCAACAATCTTTTTATTTATTTTTTTTCTCTTTAAAGTTCAAATGGCTTAGTAAGCAGGCGAGAAAACCCAAACTGTGCAAATGAATTTAAAACCAAATACCTTTATTGCTGCAAGTTTGTGGATGGAGCTGTACAGCAGGGCAAGGATATGCCACATTCTAAGTGAAGAAATAAAGCAAAACCTTTTTTATATAATTTAAAAAAAATAATAATAATTTATAAGCAGATTGAGACCTTCTTCAGCCACATCTGGAACATAGTCAGGAGAAATAAAACACTACATTCCTCTTTCTATACACATTGCTTGGCTTCATTCATGGCACTTCTAATCTAGTGTACAACCTGCTAGAAGGAATTAATGGTGTAACTGCTTGTAAAATAATGCTAGATTTCAGAATCCAATCTGATGCAACACTGTCAAAGTTGTTATGATGTTAGCAGGTCCTGGGTGATCGTTAAGTTTTCAATTGGGTGTCTGTCCGCTGTGGCAATTAAATTCTAGTCTGATGTAAGGAAGTGGTTTAGCAGCGCCCTGTCCAAGACTTTTGGACTACTTTTGGGCTGGAACCAAAGTGAAGGGGCAGAACTGACTGGCACCAGATTAAAGACTTTGGTGTTAAAACTGAAGGGGGTCATTTAACAACTTCACACAAGCTGGTGGGCAGGACCTCCTCCTATTAAAATGCCATTCCAATGAAATTGTTATGGACCCTTTTAAAAAAATAAAATAAAAATGTAGATCCATCACCTTTGGAGGATGATTTTCCTGCTTTGTGTGATGGCCTGAGGTTATTAACTAAACTCTTAATTTTAGCCAATAAGTGACAAATAGTCAAACTGTTAGTATAGCAATGTAGAATTTCCACAAAGTATCTTGCCTAAATTTTTCTATTTAGATTTCTTACAAACATTCAGGTTGTATTATCATGCTACTTAAGTAGAGCCTCCCTCCCTTCAGCTCATAGAGCTTTGCACACTCATGCATACAGGATAGTACAACACATGACCGTGACATCCTCTGTAGATCAACCCTTGCTGTTTGTAAGAAGTCTTACAGATGGCAAGATTCTAACCGGCATCAGTTGTAGGAATTGAGCAATCGTGATAATTAACATAGGACAGTGGTAGGCACCCCGAATGTTGCAGATTAATCTCCCATCATACCGTACCAGCATTATGGCTGTAAAAAATTATGGGATAATGAGTCCTGAACATCTGGCGTGCTGAATGTAACCTACTCCTACTCTTGAACTAGGACATGACCTTTTTACGAAGTCTCTCTTTATGTAACTCATATTGTGCCTACAGTAGTTTTATTTTTTTCCACCTCCCTGCTGGTGGGACAGCACATCAGTAGACCGAATTGTCTTATTCTGAGTGACACATGCAGTGTCTTGGAATGTGCTGCTACGGGATTGAGTAATGTCACCACAGGCTATAGAAGACATTTCTGTACCCTTTCTGTCTACAGACAAATCCATACTTGCCTTTTGTAGACACTGCTATCTTGTTGCGTTATTCTGATCTACTAGCTAGACTAGGGTTTTAAATGTTTATCAAGAGTGGTGATAGAAATCGGGAAAATTTCAAATCTGCTAATATCCTTGGTCATTTTATGCTACGTTGACAAATGTGACCACAGCGTTTAGTGTAAGTTACATAAAATGTCTTAAAGGGACACTATAGTCTCCAAAACAATCTTAGTGTCCATTAAATCTACAAGCATTAGATGAAGCAACACTATCTCTTCCAAAACATTGGCATGGGTGCTTATTATTTTATGATTTATATTGCGTCATCAGATTCCATAGCGCTGTACAGTGCTTATTGCAGTCTAACTTCATAAATATGGCTAAACAATCTTCCTTTCATGTCCAGCAGTGATTAGTATATATGCTAAAGGCCAGTCTATCAAACTATAAACCAGTGTGGCAATTTTCCTTTCACCAAAACCTATTGTATAGTGTCAGGCATACAACTGTGTATTCATGACATTAGAAGTGTGAAAACACATTACTGACTGACCTTAACTCTCCCCCCCAGTGAAAAAGGTAGTTTACCATTTTACAGCGTTGTGCAGGTCTCCTTGCAGCTGGCTTCTTTCATGCTCTGACTCCTTAGCTGAGATTATCTATTTTCCCATAGGAAAACATTGGGAATGGAGGGGGGACGTTCAGCACCTCTATACAGCAATGACCCAAGAAGCACCTATTAGTGACTGCACCTTGAGGTGTTTCTAGCCATCAATGTAAACACTGTCTTTTATGTGAAAAAGCAGTTACATTAAAAACCCCGCAGGGACAGACTATAGGCACCAGAATAACTTCATTAAGCTGTAGTTATTCTGGTGACTATAGTGTCACTTTAAAAACAAAACAAAAAACTACCTACTGGGAGACTGGCTATAGTGCAGTCTTTTTATATTTGAATGTAAATGATTGTCCTCAGTCCTTGCACAAGATGAAATTACTAGCAACACATAGCTTCCGTAAAAGTGTAACAGTCAAACGTGGATTTTGCACGTACTCTTTTTGTGAAATAAAGTTACAGGGTGGTGACAGAGCCACTTTATATTGGGGGTATTTTAACGTATACTTAGGATAGCTATACATCCCAGCTCTAGCTGACCAATCCGGCATGCTTTATGTTTAAAAAGCATCTTGGGAATTTTCCATTCCCATATCAGGGGTGCAAAATAGCCATTGTTTATATAACACATTCCCTGTTAAAGGGACACCCCAGTCTAATTCCCATTCATTATCACTATTGACCAACAAATATTGCAGTGTAGAATGTATGTAGAATTTTACCTGTATAAAAAGGTGCTAAAAAAATACTATATATATAATTTTTTATTTTTTTTCTCCTTTGGAGAAATAAATTGTCGGTAGTAAACATTGTGTATGCAATTTTTACATGGTGTTGATGTGTAATAAAACGATAACTATTTCTGTATTTGTGGATCCTTGCTGTCTGTGACTTGAGAGTGGCTTGGTTATGTTGATATTGCTGTCCGTTTGTGCTGTTAACTTCACTGTGACTTGAACAGTCCTGTCTGCTGATTAGAGGGTATCTCTGTATCTTAGATACTATGGGGCTCAGCATATTTGCTGCAGAAGTCTATAATTGTAATTCCTGACTGTATTGTCTTTGTCCTTTCTGCTGAAAGCTCGAATTCTGGATGGTGTTCTGTATGGCTTGTGTTGTGAGCTGTCGATTGTGTAAATGTATCCAAGTCTGTGTATGCTCAGAATAGCGTTTTTTTTGTATTTGGATTGGCCTGTGACTTCAGGCTGAAATAAAATTCTCTTTGATGTGCAGATTTTAAAGAAAAGTCATTTAGACAGCGCTGCAATTTGAGGGGGTATTTAAAAATATCTCAAATTCTGCCCGGGGAACAAATTGGAAAAGTGAATTTCTCCTTTTTTTTTTTTTTGTGTCGGCTTCTGGTAGGAGCCACAGCACTGGTGTAATCTCGCAAGTATAAAGATTCACGCCTTATTTAAAAAAAAAAAAAAAATAATAATAATAATTTGTAACCTTTTGTAGTTCCACCTTAACCTGTTTGTGCAGTAATGACACTGGTGGCTTTAAAAAGGTTTGTCTATATAAACGTATGGCAGTTTATTTCATGGCGAATTACAAACGTGCAAAATTGAAAGTCTTCTACGCTCTTAATTGGCCTGTTGCAAATGTCACTTCTCCTTGTATTCCTCCCTAATGATTAAACTATTTTTTTTTAGCCAAATCGCACGTAAATGTATTGACAAAAAGATTAAGGAAATTGATTACTGTGCCATAGGCTTTTAATTCTCCTATGCCACAGAGTGTCTGCCATCTATAATTTTAGATGTAAAAGCAATGCTGACATAAATGAAACCCAATGTCAAGATTTTCTCATTTTTCATTAAGCTTTATAGAGGCATTAATTGGAACAGACTAATGAAGAAAGAAGAAAAATTCTTTAATAAAATGACTAATTTGCTACATAGTTTAAGGTTTCATGTTTAGCATTTTTGTTCAACTGTACAAATGGTCACAACTGTATTGTAGTATAAATCTGAGGAGATTCCTAATGTATACAATATACATGACAGTAGAAATAAGACGAAGGTCACTGGAAGGAACAAGATGCTAAGTCGTGTGTGCATTCTCACAATATAATGCCCAATTGTTAGACCCTGCCACCATAAATTCTATAGCAAAATTGGAAAGGGTTAATGAGGAATTGGGTACTCATTGTAACACAAGATGCAACATCAAAAACTAAAATTCTAACTACCGTATTCCATAAACGATCTTGGGAAGATACTTTGGCCAGCTTATTTGTTTTTTTTTTTTTTTACACTTTTTATTACTTTTTAGAAATAAACCAGCAGCTAAAATTCCAAAATAAGTGGGATGCAAATGTACCTTTTATTTTTACTTACGATTTAGAATTATAGGTTAACAGACTGCTCTCTAGAACGAAGCTTAAAGTTCTGCTTTATTGCTACAGAAATTGTGCTTTTTGTGTTTCATCTAATTGAAGTTGCCTTTTTCCTGAATAGTTTTGTGTGTCTAGCTTTAATTTTTTCCAAATAGAATACATTTCTAAAAGAAAATTAGAATTCACCAGCCCTCTTGTTCGATATTTGTGTGTACTTTGTGGAAGTGGTAATGTGTTACTGCTTTTCTCAGGTTTTGGATTGATGTCATTGTAAATCTTCAGTTCCTGCAAACCTTTGTGTGTTGAGCCTCTGAGGTTAATACCTGTGTCTTCCAACAAGACGCAAAAATCAAAATACAGTTAAATGTTTCTAAGCCAAATATGTCTTCCATACCCTTTTTATGAACTTGCAAGGGTAAATGGATACTGCTACAGGCATCCCTTAAAGGGGATTGTGATTGTGCCATAACTGACCATCCTGTATCTGGGTTCTTTATTTTAGTTCCCAGCCACATCAAGACATTGGCATCCAGTTCTAGACTACCTCAGGTGTCACATTCATTGGTAGACCGAAATATATTGCATTTTTGTTTTTCGGCCAGTAAAGGTGGGGGCATTGGGTGCTATGCACTGTTCAGATCCCTGACTATGTGCAGTTTCCACTAAACACCTTTTCCCTGGCCCAAATGCTAGCCCGCCAAACCGAAATCTGAGCAAAATTTAGCATTGGAAATGTTTTGTTTTTTTTTCTATTAAAAAATAGAATTGAAGACCGTTTTGTTGTCTTATGCAAGTCATAGTTTAAAATCCGTAATTGGAGTAGTGTGGGTTTTTGATGATTGTGTGGGGTGTCCCCTCTATCCTCTCTCCTCTCCTCTTCATCCTGTGCCTTTTATCCCTCAAATAAAATTCCCTGCACACTCCTACTCTCTGACTCCTGTGTAATTCCGGCGATTTAAACATTAGGTGGAACAACTACTCATTGCTGTGAAGGGGATCTTTCTTTACAAAAAGACAAAACATTTTTAGAGAACTTAAGTGAACTTTTTAAATTGTTAAGATTATGCCAAGTTGGAATACTTGGTCCCCTTTCGCACTCTGCCCCTCCTCCCCTCCAACCAATCTATTTTCGAAAAAAGATTTGCTTTGGTCTGGGTAATAGCATAAGCAACACAGACATTCCTTTTTGAGGTAGATTTATCTCTCCTTGCCCTTCTGGTAAGTGGATATTCTCTTTAATTTTCAAACTGTTCAGATTTAAGTTAGGGTCTTTTGTTTTTTTTCTTCTCCAAAGAAAGTTTAAACATAAACGTAATATATGCTGCATATCGAACTAGGCATCATTGCACTTTTCTCCATCTATGCCCTAAATCTGGAATCAATACTCACTATTTTATTTTTTTCCTAACATATTTTGGGCAAAAAAAGTGAAAATGTAGGTACCTCAAAAAAAGCCTGAAAATGCTGCATTGTGTTCCTTTTTTATGAATATTCTACTTTCAAAGATTTGCTTTTTGTTTTCAATTTTACTTGTCGATGTATCTTAAGTAGTGTTTTAATATTTATTACTTTCACTTCCTCGGATCTTTGAATTCTTTTGACACTTGGGTTCCTGTATTGGCTTGCAATGCCTTTCAGATCCTTGTTCAGTGAGAATTTAGATATTGGATAATGAGATTTTTCTCTCCAATACCTGTAAACCGCCTACTGTGTGTGCTATGTTTTTATATTTCTAACAAGTTGGTGTCGTTTTTTTTTTTTTTGAGCACTCAGTAGGCACCACTTCACCACAATGATGGCTAACCTTTGGCATTTCAGAAGTTGACTACGTTATCAGTGATTCTCTGCCAGCCAAGAGTGGTTTCCATCTGGTTTGCCAACGGCTAGTGGTGCTCTCTAGCTTTGAAGTAGATGACCTGTGAACTGTGTATTTTGGTTCCTACATGCACTATTGAACGGGCCTGGGTAGCTGTAAACCTCTGGCGATTGGAGCAAAACCCACATAGCACTCACCCACTTGCTAGAGGTTTGCTGTTGCCAAGCTCTGACAGGGTTCAGTCATTTAAATGCAATATTTAAAAGTATGAACTGAACGCACTTTGAAGGTGCTCATGCTGTTACTGCAAAACCGTTTACATTGTCTGAATGTGTCAGTCCCCAACTGCTGACGGGAGTTTTGCAGTGCACTGCAGTCTCTTCTGTGTCGGCATTGGACTGTTGCGGCTTCCTCGATAACCTTGTGTATGCAATAAAAATGTCAAAATTAGTATTTCTCCTTTTTATTTTCAGCTCTGCGTATATTAAAGCTATGAATGCTGTAACTTGGACTGATGTGAATGGTGTATTTTATGACTGTCAGTTTTTTTGTTTTTGTGCCTCGTATATTGGATATAATAAATGAATAAAATCTCTAAGTGTGTCTTTTTTTATTTATTTAGTTTTTAAAAACATTTTTTTTTTTTTTTTTTCTTGCCTGGTCTTTCTGTATAATGTATACATTCACATTGGCACCATCCAGTATATAACACAACTGTGAACAATTCTCCCCAGAATTTAATTCTCCTTAAATGGCAACTGTCATCTCAACATTACTGGCCATGAACAAATGATTGCTTTTGGCTTTAGACAAAATTACTCATTTTTACTATCTTATTGCACCCAGCCCCCTATCATTCTGTCATATTTGGCAACATCAAAGAAGGTACATATACAAAAAATATACTTTGTACAAACAGATTGAAGAGGGTGTCACCCCAGGTTTTTATTTTATTTTTTTGCAGTGCATATAGTGAATACATACTGGCTTGAGGTACCACAACAGCATTCCTAGAGCTGCTTGGCATAGGTAACTAGTAGGGTAAACGTTAGGCAATGCACAATTTTATAGTGTGTGTATAGTAATGATGACACTAGTGAAACCTAAGAGTAGTGATGGTAGAGTGAGTTTCAGACATGGCTTATGGCATCTTCTCTTACTGATGGTGTATGAGTATTTAGTGTAGTTAGTGTGGGCAGTCATGGTAGGGTAAGGGATGCAGGGACAGGCTAGTTCAATCTGTCTAGGCTGGGACACACATGTATGGTAAAACAGACAGGCTATCCAAGCACGGAGATTTATGTACAGGAGAATATCGTTGGAAAACAGATTCAGTCTAGCTGTCAACACCTAAACACACTTGCTTATTAATGTGGAGTTACGTGGTATCTGACCTTGAGTGTAAGTAGTCCAAATAATATAAAAAGGAGACAACAGGTCAACAGAAATTAAAGAGACCGTCCATGCTGGCGTGCAGAAGTCATCCCCTGGGTTTGGGTGGATTATTTTGGCTTCTGTCCTCAGCGTAGCCCGAAGTCAGCCGACTCCCAATCTGCAGAGCCGCAGTGATTGTGTGTAAGCCGTGTGGGAGTCTCTGTGCCCATACGCTGATAGTAGTGGTTGGCTCACATGCAGTGTTCCAGACTGGAGTTGGAGCGTTGCAGTCCTCTGGACCTCGGAGTTGCCAGGTAGGTTTGTATGTTCTTCGGTTGCACTCTGTCCCTGCTGGTGTTCCACGTGGGTGCTTGGCTTCTTGCGCTAGGGTATGGTGCGCCGCTTGGTCCGCCGCCATTTTGAGGCCGGTTAGCAGGTAGGACTTTTGGGTTCTTTCTCCCTTGTTGAGGCAGCTTTATTGGTAAATGGCTGCTTGGGAGTTGCGGGCAGGTGGGTGTACTCTGTTCTCCAGCTTGCACCAAAATTTTTCAAATATTTCGTCCAGTCTGAACTGGAGGTCGGGCAGGTGTCCCCTTTTGTCAGGGGTGCTCTTTTCCGCCATTGTACATGAGCCCTGCGTCTCTGCTTGTTGCTTGTCAGACATGCCGTCCAGACCCCATAGCACGGCTGGCAGGTGCCGGGATTTCCCTTACCAGCAGGGGTGGGGGAATTTGCCTGTCCTCTGATGGCCCCCGTAGAGGTATAGGAGCCCGAGGGTGGAGGGTTCAGCCGCCTCCCTCGTGTAGTAGGCCTCCATCCTCCCGGGATCCTGAACCGCTAGACGCTGGTCAAACTCCTCTGTTTGTACGAAGTATATTTTTTGTATATGTACCTTCTTTGATGTTGCCACAAATGACAGAATGGCAGGAGACTGGGTTCAATAAGATAGTAAAAATTTGTAATTTTGTCTATTGCGCTTTAATTAATGATCAAATAAAAAAATAGAGCCTCTGGGCACGCCTATATTGGAAGAGACACCCCACTGCTGAGCTCCATTGCAGTCTGTGGCTGTGCCCACTGGGTGCTGGTTTCATACACTTTGGACTGAAGTCATGATGTGATGAAGCCTCCGCCCACATGAGGAGAATGTTCTCGCCCCTCGCTACACTCTTTGGTAGTTTGGGAACATCGGCCAGTGTTCTCACAGGAGTTATGCAGCCACTACATTAGGGACACCTCCGCAGCTGTCCCTTTGCTGAGCTTCATCACGGAGCTTGGCCACACCCCCTCTGTGACACGGTTGATGTTCCTTCTATAATTATTGGGGCTTGGCTCTGTTCACTAGCAGGTGATTCCTATACCTGGGCGTTAAGCATTATTTTGCATTAGTTGGAAGTTTGAAAAGTCTGTGTGGTTGCGTATATATAATAATATATATATATATCTGGCACAGCGCCCTTATCTATCTTGGTGCTTCAAGATGAGTTAGTTTGCTTACTTTAAAACACAAGTGCCCTCGAATACACAGAACAGATATTTTGTGAAGCAGCCAAATTAGTAAACAAATTCTACTAACATTTATGTTGATTTATACTAAATATTGCAGTTTGCGATCTGGTCATCATCACGACCATTTCTCTTCGGCCCAGAGAACCGTCCAGTGGACTGCGCCCTAGCTGCACTTTCCTGCAGGCTTTATTTTAGGTAACCTAGTTAGCTGATCACCCAGGGTGTGCCTGACAGCTGGATTTATACTTGTGTTGCCAGTATAATGATGTGCCTGACATTCTCTGACAGCTCTAGAGGCTGCCGCATATCATGACACTGTGTACAGCATCTGATAGTTTGTTGCTCAGTGACAGAGCAACATCTGCAGCTGTTTTTTCTGATCTGACTACACTTTCATTAAGCAAATCATGTGTGTATTTATATTATCTTTATTTCACGGTTTTATTTATTTTGTCTGTTAGTTTGTTTTTATATATATATATATATATATAATTTTTAATTTTTTTTTTTTAATTTTTTTTTATCTAACTCCTAAGTGGCCAGGATGTGTCTGTTCTGCTCATGTTTAGTAATTACCATATTTGGGATTAAACCCTCTTTCTGGATGTTGCCTTTATACCTAGTGCTCCCACACAAAAAAAAAAAAAAATCAAAACTCTGCCCAGATGTACAAAATAAAAATGAGCAGATATAGTCATACAATATGGTATGCCTTTAAAAGCGTAATACATGGTCACCTAATAAAAAATTGTGGCTTATGAAAAGAAAAATAAATGACAAGGTTTACATGAACTATACATACAATAAGACTCCTTACGCCTTCAAAATAAAGAGACTCCCTCCGGGGATAATGCACAAAAATAACTGAAATAGAAAAACAAATCAACGAGGCATTAATACGTGTAAATGAAAGGCTAAATAATAGAGTATGGTATTACAAGGTTAATAAACTAGATACATTATCTAATCAAAAAAAAAAAAATGCAATTAAGTTTATTTCTAAAATAAAATATGAAGATCAAACTCTTATGATACCTGAGAAAATAGGGTGGGTATTTCAAGATAACTATTAAAATCTATATAATTTACCAATAGCGCCTTCTAAGATCGAGATTAAGATATTTTTAATGAAGAGTAAAATCCCCAAAATAATTCAAGAGCAACTGATATTGTTAAATTTGATTTTTACAGAAGAGGAGGTGTATAAAGGTATTGGGAACCTCAATATTGGTAAGTCCCCTGGCCGGGGTGGATTTTCGAATAAATTCTATAAATTTTTTAAAGAAAATATTAAACTCCCAAGTTGTTGAACTTTTTAATTATTTTGTAAATAGCCAATCCCAATGGAAATGCAATCAAATATAGTACCAATTTTGAAACAAGATAAACCAGCTTGTACGTTTCTAATTATCGTCCAATCACGCTTCAAAATGTTGATATAAAATTTTACTCTTCAATCATAGCAATTCGTTTAAATACGATTTATTGAGGAAATAATCCAACCGGGACCAGGTGGGGTTTGTCCAAGGCAAGTCCGCAACAACTAGTATTCGGAAACTAATAGATATTCTGGAAATAGTTAAAAAACAAAAAAAGGGACCTTTCTCATAACCCTGTCATTAGATGCAGAGAAAGCTTTTGACAGGGTGGGGTGGAGATATCTACAGTATTCACTGATGGCATATGGTTTAGAGGGACCAATTTTTTATGCAATTATGGCATTGTATTAGAGTCCATCGGCGAAGGTTTTGGGCAACAGGTTTATGTCTGAGTGGTTCACATTGAGAAATGGAACTAGACAGGGCTGCCCGTTGTCCCCTCTATTGTACATGATGTCATTGGATTCCATGGCAGCTATCATAAGGGAAGATATGGAAATTAGAGGATTTACATATGGTCAGACACAAGCTAAGCTTCATTTATACGCAGATGCTGTTATCTTAACACTACAAGACTCATGTAACTCTATGGAGGCTGTAATGAATATTGTGAAAAAATTTGCTAAGATATCAGGTTATAAATTGAATATTGAAAAATCAATTGCGCTCGGAAGTAATCTTGTAGAGAGGGATAGAGAAATATTGAGAAATAAATATGGATGTAGGTGGTTATCAAACTCAAATTATTTAAGAATCCAAATTAGCTCAGATATCACAATTGTCGAAGAAAACTTTTTACACTTGTTAAAACAGATGAATAAAAAAAATTAAATGATTGGAAAAAAATAAATCCCAGTTTCATGGTGGGGTAGAGTAAATATATTGAATTCTTATATCCTGCAACAATGGGTATACCTCTTCAGACTTATTCCACTAAATCTCACAGAGGCCTGGTTAATAATGATACAGACAGCATTCAGAAAATTGTGTGGCAGGGAAAAACTCCAAGGATATAAATGCTAGGACATTGATATTAAAATCTAATCAAGGGGATGTGGGTATGCCAAATGTGGAGCAAATATATAGGGCAAGTAGATTATCTCATGCTATAATAACATCAAAATAGTAGTGCTTTGGCAACTTGGTATAAAATTGAACAAAATGTATTGAATAATCAAAATCTAAATGTATTTTTTTTTGGATAACTACGGACTCAGATAAAATCCAGAAAGAAAGAAATATAAAAGAAAAAGTAAAAATATAAATTGATAAAGACACTGACTCAGGGGTCACTAATTTGACCCATGAGTCAGTGTTTAGAATGCCCTAAACTATTCTTCCCAAACGGGGAATAACCCACAGTGTACATTATATGAAAAAAGAGTATGTTTTCCTGGCACTATAGTGGTCCTTTAAGTCACTGTTAAAGGACATTAGATCCCTATTCCAAGAAGACCTGGTGATAGTTCGGGAAGAGGTGCACTCCCTTACAGGCAGAGTCAAGCTCATAGAGGAAGAGGTCTCAGGCCTACTCACCACACAAGCCGCTATGCAAGAGGGCCCAGGAAAGTCTGGCAGCGAAGATGGCGGATGTGAAGGACAAAAGCCGACGCAATAACATCAAGCTGACGGAAGTGCCTGATGGAGAAATACACATGATGCCCAGGTTGGATTTATATCAAACCAAACCAGGGCGGTCACTAATGACTAGTTTTTCTAGGTATCTCACCAAATGCTGTGAGACTTTCCTTTTTGAGGTTTTGAGAGGGGCCATGAAGTTTCCTTGGGTTTTGTTTTGTGGTTGGGGACTTGCATGTAGTGCCCTGATTTCTTCTCTTCTTTTCTTACGCCATTCTCTCTATCTTATGTTTGTGATTCAGGGAATCATTACCGACTAGCCTCTTTGCATAGCTTTGCAATGTTTTATTTGAGACACAATGTCTTTTATTATCCGAAAAAAAATCTTTAAAACTACAACTAAAGATTGTAAAAAAATTTTATTAAAAAATTAAAATAAAATCTTGGGTTCTCAATGGCATCCATCCCCCAACACAAAGAGAGGGAGGGGGTAAGACAAACGCCTATCTCAGGGGTAGGCAACCTTTGGCACTCCAGTTGTTTTGGACTACAGTCGCCTGAGGATGTGGGGCAAGTCACAGATCAGGTTCCCTCAAACTGAATACCTCCATCTCAGACTCCAGCGCCTTCCTGGCAGCCTCATGTTCAAATCGTGCCAGTAAAATACCGGCCAGTTGGTAACCCTAGGTAGTATTTAGTAAGAGTGTCAATGACAGATATTGAAAATCTGACCAGTCTTTGTCCTTTGAAAATGTTGGGAGGGACCAGAGATGGATGAACTATTGATCTCTTAAATACAACTAGAGAGAAGGACCGTAATTAGTCCGATGTAAATAAAAAAAGAGAAATATGAGATTAGACTGTGAAACGAGAGGCGGCGAGCCACCCGAGACATTAATTAGAATGAGTTTCATGTTAAAGTGAAGAATTAGAATCTAATACGCTGGAGACG